CTAACTCACTGCTGTCAAGTCGAATCTGACCCACAGCAAACCCTCCTTGAGTTTCCAAGGCAGTATCACTTCGGAAGTAGATTGTCCCACCTTCCTTCTGAGGAGTGGCTGGTCGGTTTGAACTGACAGCCTTCTGGTTAGCAGTCAAACCCTTAGGCACTGTGCCACCAGAGCTCCGAAAGTAAAATATAACTTTAGTTAAAAGAGAAAGTATATTATTTTATTTTGATTTTTCAACACTTACATGGTATAGATGTATGATCAAATGATATGTACAAAATTTCAGTAATTCAGAATAATTAAGAATGAGTAGATCAATCTGAATTGTGTTACTAAATGCTTAGTAAGAATGTGTTCTACACTGCTGGTTATACCAATATATAGTAATGTTTTAAAAGAATTGCCCAGAAAAGATGTTTTATTGGACTTTTTTTCAATAAATAATTGACACATATTTTAAATTAACATTTTATGTAAATAAATGCTATTTAAGGGAATCTAAAAATTCTTTTCCCTTTTCTGTTTGTTACTTTAGGAGATTTCTCATATGATTCTTTTATCATAGCTAAAACAAAAGTTCAGACCCATCTGAAATTGTGTTGTTGTTGTTAGGTGTCACTGAGTCAGCTCTGACCCAGAGCAACCCTATGTACGATAGAACGTAACACTGCTTGGTCCACGCCATGCTCATAATCTCTGCTATACTTGAGCTCTGAAATTAGCAGGATTTTAATAAAATTTTACTATGTATGGCTGTTGTTGTTGTTGTTTGCCGTCGAGTCGGCCCTGACTCATAGCGACCCCTCCTTGGGTTTCCGAGGCAGTATCACTACGGAAGTAGGATTGCCCAACCTTCCTTCCGAGGAGTGGCTGGTGGGTTTGAACCGCCAGCCTTCTGGTGAGCAGTCAAGTGCCTTAGGCACTATGGTACCAGAGCTCCTATGTATGGCTAGTAAGGTCTAATAAATTTACAGAGGCCAATCATCAAAATTTGGTGTAATCTTCAGTAATTTTCAGAATCAATTATAGATATATCTGACTCCATGAATGAATAGTGAAAACAAGCTTCCCAGCTCCATGAATATCATATTCTGTTCTTTGTACACCTTTCCTATCTCCTTAGTCTAAGTTTATCTAAATACATAGGTCTAGTGTTTTAAAAAGATTTTGCATATCTAAATTGTAGATAATTTAAAGTTTAAATTACTAGCAAATAGGATTATACTTCATGTTTCTCTCGGGTAGAAGTAGACCTCTGCATATTGATGTTTTCCGTCTGTGAGACTGTGATACATATGTGGAAGTAGCCTATAATGTGACCAAAACAAAAATATTAAATATCTTAGTAGGTTTGTGATAAGCTTAATTGTTCAACAAATTATTCCAGAATTATTTTAATGAGCTTTATATTACCTGGTCAATATGAAAGGTAATGAAGAAATAAAAGACAAGAAAGGGGAAGGATATTCTATGAAGAACCGTGGTCAGTAATGGTGAAAATCTATTTATGTAAACCCTTTACAGATTTACAGTTTTATTTACACTCTGGCATTAAATCTTAGAGCCTCCTTTTTACTTCATGGGACCTTAACTAATAGGAGAAATTTGATGTTGTTTTTGATCTTATTTATGCTAGTATAGTAAAACCACATAAGTTCTGACTATCAAAAACACTTGTATAGCACTTATTAAGTGCTATTCACTTTTCTAAGAGCTTTAACAGGTTTCAACTCATTTAATCTTTATTAAAATCCCATGAGGTAAGTACAATTGTTATCATCCCTATTTTACAAATGGGGAAATTAAGGAATAGAGAGTTTTAAGTTGTGTGCCTTAGGTCACAATGCTAATAAACACCACATTCAAAATTTGAACCCAGAGCCTGTGATACGCTGCCTCTTTACCTTCTTTATCTATACCAAATCAAAACCAAACCCACTGCCACCGAGTGATTCCCACTCATAGCGACCCCCATTGGGTTTCTGAGGCGTTAAATCTTTACGGAAGTAGATTGTCTCATCTTCTATTGAGTGGCTGGTGGGTTTGAACTGCTAGCTTCTTGGTTAGCTGTTAAATGCCTTAGGCACTGTGTCACCAGAGCTCCTATTTATCTGTCTAGCCTCAGATTAATAAATACTTTCAAGAAAATACAGCATTTTTTTTTTTAATTGGGCTTTAGGTGCAGATTTACAGAGCAGAGTTTGTTTTACATTCGACATTTGGTTTTTCTCCCCAGTTACCATCATCACCAGCATTATTGTTTTTAATATATTTATAGTCACCAACGACATTGCTTAAAAAAGTTTTAATAGCAGCCTTGTTGTTGTTGTTATGTGCCATTGAGTCGGACCCGACTCATAGCGACCCCTCCTTGGTTTTCCAAGGCAGTATCACTATGGAAGTAGATTGCCCCATCTTCCTTTCAAGGAGTGGCTGGTGGGTTTGAACCGCCAGCCTTCTGGTTAGTAGTCAAGTGCCTTAGGCACTAGGCTACCAGAGCTCCCAATAGCAGCCTTTGTTGTTGTTATGTGCTGTCGGGTCGGCCCTGACTCATAGCGACCCCTCCTTTGGTTTCCGAGGCAGTATCACTACAGAAGTAGGATTGCCCAACCTTCCTTCCAAGGAGTAGCTGGTGGGTTTGAACCACCAGCCTTCTGGTTAGCAGTCAAGTGCCTTAGGCGCTATGCTACCAGAGCTCCTAAAAGCAGCCTTAGTGAATCTTTAAAACACAAGTCTTTGATTTCATAGCATCATTCCTTTATAATAATATTTTATTTTTATGGCTTAAACATACCATCTGTATTGATGGTTAGGTTATGAAGTTGCTAAGAGACCAAATGAGATAATTAAGTGTCTACTATGTAAATAATCATCACCAACTGATGTTAATTTCTCCCTTGCTTAATAAATTAGTTGCAGAGATAAGCTTCAGTCACTGAAATTCACTGCTTTTGGTTGGGAAATATTTCAAGGAGATAATGTAGTTCTCCTTAATAGTCACAAGATGTCAGTGTTAGGACAGTTCGAAAATTGAATATGTCAATTTTTTTTCCTTAAGATTTCAAAAAATGTTATAAAAATGAGATACTACACTAAATTAACTCAATACTATTATTCAGAACTGACATATTTTCATGATTAAAGCATCATGGGCCATCCTTTACCTTTGTTAATCACCTGCCACAATTCACTCTTCTCATTACCCACACTGAACTTCTTTTAGTTTTCTGCACAAAAACCAAAACCAAACTCATTGCTATCAAGTCGATTCTGACTCACAGCAACCGCCACTGGGTTTCTGAGGTGGTAAATCTTTACAGAAGTAGATTACCCCATCTTCCTTCCATAGAGTGGTTGCTGGGTTTGAACTGCTAAGCCCCTGGTTAGCAGTCAAATGCCTTCTGCACTGCACTACCTGAGCTCCTTTTCTGCACAAGCTGTATTTTATTCCTTTGTGCTTCTCCTCTCTGGGAATGCCCATTAGCCATTTTATTCCTAGCAATGTCCCGTTAATCATTCAGGATTTAGAGATGGGAGTATAGCGTAATGGTTAAGAGCATGGATTTCTAGAATCAAACCTCTTGAGTTTCAGTCCTCACTTAAATACCTATTAACTGTGTGACACTGACAAGTCACCTAACCTTGCTAAACTTAACTTTTATTTTTGTCTACAAATGAGTCTACCAGTATCTTCCTTCGCAGAGTTGTTATAACTATTAAATGATTAATAATGTAAAGTAGCATAGTGGCTAAGACACTTGACTGCTAACCAGAGGGCTGGCGGTTCAAACCCACCAGCCACTCCTCGGAAGGAAGATGGGGCAATCTACTTCCATAGTGATACTGCTTCGGAAACCCAAGGAGGGGTCGCTATGAGTCGGGTTCGACTCGACAGCACATAACAACAACAACAACAACAACAATGTAAAGTGCCTACAACAAAAAAACAAACAAAAAACCAAACTCACTGCCATGGACTCGGATCTGACTCATAGCAACCCCTCCTTTGGTTTCTAGGGCGATATCACTACAGAAGTAGATTTGCCCAACCTTTCTTCTGAGGAGTGGCTGGTGGGTTTGAACCTCCATCCTTCTAGTTGGCAGTCAAATGCCTTAGGCACTACGCCACTAGAGCTCCTGCCACAAAGTTAGTGCTTAATAAACAGTAGTTTATTACTCACTCAAACATCACTCTTTGATTGAAATAGAATGGAACTAAGAATAAGTGAGTTTGGTGAGCATGTTGCCTAGGGATGGCAAATAGGTTTCTTTTCACATGCTGTGAAAGAGGCATGGAGGCAGCATCTTCTGACCTCTTCTAACTCCACAAGAGGAAGACCGAATTACCATCAGCAGGCGGAGGCCTGTTCTTATGAGACCAGATGTGCCCCCACCCTCCAGCCCTTTTACCAGCCTTGGTACCAACTGTCCCTCCTGTGGCACCCACAACCTTTCTGCTGGGTTCGATAATTTGTTTCAGTGGCTACACAGAACTCACAGATTATGGCCTTTATCAGGGAAGCACAGGCTACAATTCATGTTCAGGAACACACTCAGTCTCTCTCAGCCGGCCATCTCTTTCAGTTGGCGGTCTCTCTCAGTTGCACATGTCTCTCTCAGCAGTGCATCTGTCTCGCATCTCTCTCTCAGCAACCTATCTCTACTAGCGGGCAGTCAGAGAGATTTCTTCTGCCTATAGGAGGGCTCCTTTTGAGCCTGGCAGAATGGCAAAACCAACCAATCCCAACATCACAGCTCTACATACCTGAGAGAGAGTGAACTTTCTCAAAAGATTACTTTGTGCTGCCCCACAAGGATGACTTTAACAAGCAGCTACTCAGTTGCTCACGGCAAAGTGAGAGTTACAAAGACTATGGATAGAGAAGCCATTCCTTGTAATTTACTACACTGCATGTGCCAACCCTGATCAGTTGCTATCTGGAGCACTGGCTTCAAAGCATATTGAGGCTATGTCTGGGATCAGCTGGTAGATTAATTATAGTTGTTGTAATTCACAGGAGAGACAATGGAGGAATGTATTCTTTGTATTTGTAATTCCTAATAAGGCAACCCTTATTATTACACCAAATATTATTAATCTGCCAGGGAACTCTTTCCAACGGATTTCAGACATAACCTCAATAAAGTAATGTAAAATAATGTAAAGTGGAAGGCATTGAAAAAGAGCAAGATACTCAATGAGATGGATTGACAGAGTGGCTGCAGGAATGGGCTCAAACATAGTAATAATTGTGAGGATAGCACAGGACCAGGCACCATTTTTTTCTTTTTATTGTAACTAAGGTTGCTACAAGTTAGAGACTACTTGACAGTACCTAACAAGAACAACAATAAGGTAACCTCAATTTGTGGTTGAGATATCAAGTAGTGTTATGTATTTTTTCAAAGGTTGTAGAAGATAAAGCTACATAGTAGATGGTACCATTAAATAGAACCTTGATTGCTGGGCAGAGACATTTTGACATAATCTAAAAGGTAGTAGATTTTTCAGCAGGAAAGTCATGAGTGCCAAGCAGTGTTTTGAGAAAGTTCATCTGCCACTAATTTGCAGGATCTCTTGGAGTGAGGAGGAATCAGAAGAAAAAACTCTACTGGCTTCATATTGTATTTCCTTTTTATTTTTTTTTTTTGCTGAAATGATGTATGCAAATAGACATAGCATAAAGACTGGCACATAGTAACTGCTTACTAAATATTAAATTGTTATTATGAGTGGATACATTTAGTGGGCGAGAAGATGACTGCCATAGATGAATTTCTCTTCCACTTGCTTCATCAGTTATCCTCATTTATAAAGTGGGAATTGTAATAATACTTAGTGTGCCTTTTTCTGATTACTAGTAAGGCTGGCATATCTTTGTATTATTATCGCTGCTTTTGTTTTCTGTTTTATTTATTTATTTATTTTGCTTGGGGTGCTAATTTACAAAGCAGGTTTGTTTTACATTTAACAGTTCATGCACATTTGATTTCATGGCCCCAATTACCCTCCCCAACCATAAAACACTCTCTTCCCTTCTCCTCCCTGTGACTACACCTTCACTGTGCCCTTCGTAACTTTGCATTCCTGTCTGTCTTGCTTTCTCCCTATGTGAATATCCCTCTGATATCTCAAGGCTGATTGATCTAAGGGGTATATCTCCCTAGAGTCAGTGGGTACATCACCCTGGTGTAGGTGTTCTGCGTGTCGGTCTTTCTGCTATTGGGCTGAGAGCCAATCCATGGAAGGGAGTCCATTTCTAGGCCCAAAGGGTAACCTGGGGCTATAGTCTCAGGGATTCCACCAGACTCTATCAGACACGTAATTTGGTCATTTTTGTGTTTTTGAATTTTGTTCCACATTTTTCCTTCCACCCTATACAGGATTTCCAGTTTTGATCCCTTCCCAAGTGGTTGGCATTGGTAGCCAGGCACCATCTAGTTCTGGTCTTGGTGTTGTAAAGGCTGAGGTCTTCATGGTCCATCTTACCTTTGAACTAATTGTTTCCAAATGACTTTGATGTTCTTCACTCTTCTTTGCTCCAGAGGAGAGGAGACAAATAGTTGCATTTTAGATGGCTGCTGGAAAGTATTTAAGACGTTAGTCACCACTCACCAAACAAAGTAGGATGTTTAAAAAGATTTTTACGTACTATGCTGTGCCAATTGAGCATGATGTCCCCCGAGACTATGGTCCTGAGCCCTAGGCCCAATGATTGTCTCTCTCAAGGTGTTTGGTTATGTCCGAGAAGCTACTCCAACCCAGTCTTCTGTTGCTTCTCATATTATATTTCCTTTCTTCTAAGAAATTTTTTCATATATTAACATTTTTTATATTAAGCATATTTCTTCTGTGCCTTATTATAAAATGAGGATGATAATAGTATTTTTCTCATAGGCATATTGTGAAAAATAAATGAGTTAATATATGTGAGGCACTTCAATCAGTGCCTGGCATGTAGTAAACACTTTTATAAATGTTAGCTGTTAACATTATGATTATTATTGGACTATATTTAATATAATGTTATTCTTTTTAAGCTGAAATTGGTAGGTTTCTAAACAATTGTAGAGTGGATTCTGACATCTTAGATGATGGGAATATAGACTAGGTGTGAGATAATGGAGGCTTAGTATGCTAAGGCACTTGACTGCTAACCAGAAGGCTGGCAGTTCAAACCCACCAGCCACTCCTCAGAAGGAAGATGGGGCAATCTACTTCCGTAGTGATATTGCCTCAGAAACCCAAGGAGGGGTCGCTATGAGTCAGGTCCGACTCGACAGCAAACAACAGCAATAACAACAACAACAGTATAATGTGGTAATTGTGAGAACTCAGAAGTAGGAGAAATGACAAAAGAATTGACTCGGTGATGTCATGGATATAGTGAATTAAAGAAAAGAAGAAATTTAAGATAGCCTGCAGATTTCTAACCTGAATAAATGGGAAATGGGGAGGTAAATGTTACTTAGAGTAATGCCTTGCACGTAGAAAGCAGTATGATAACTGTTAGCTGTTAGTAGTAGTAGTTCTAGTTAGAATAGTTACTTACTTAAATGTTGTTTCCAGTAATTTAAGAAAAGTACCAAAATATAAATAAACATCACATAATTTTACTAATAGAGAATTCATATGTTCAAGGAAAAATAAATGTTATGCTTTAAATCTTTTTCAGTATAAATCATCAAGGAAGAGTTCGAGCGGCAATGAAAACGATGAGGTGAGAAAAGAGGGTAATAGCAATTATTTGAAATGTTTACTTTTAATTTGTAATTGGGTCATCAGTGCAAAATGCAATCCATGTTTCAGTTCCTTTGCTACTGATTTAATGTATGGTCTCTCCGATAATGACAACTTTCAACATCATCAGACAATTATCAGGTTAATCATGCCTTTAAATAAGTCCTTTAGAACAAAATTTCTGATAGTTTTGGAATTTTGTCATGATTCATCTTAGACCTATAACCCATGAACTTGAATTTGTTGTATTTGACTATCTTGTATCTTCTTAAATCAACCTAGTGGCCAGTGAGAGTTTTCTAGGAATTTATTAATCTCTTTCCATAAATTCTATGGACTATTTTAAGAATTTAAGATTAGATTTCTAACTCTATCTGCCACACCATTTCAAGCAGCATACTACCTATATTGAAATGATAACATTCTTATCACCATGAATAATTAAGCTTTGTGTATTTTTTGGTTGAGGGTGGTTGTTGTTGTTATGTGCCATCGAGTCAGACCCGACTCATAGCGACCCCTCCTTGGGTTTCCGAGGCAGTATCACTACGGAAGT